GTATGGTGACGGAACAAACTGGCGAAGTCATTATAACCTAACCTATAGGTACATAATAAAAACAAATTAAATTAAAATTAATTTTTATTTACTAATTAAATATTAAGTATGTATTTCAATTATTAGATTCTGATAATGGGTATCTTACACAGTGGATAATATACCTTAGTCCATACTCCATAGGGTAGATGAACCTTAAAATTTTAAATAATTGTCGGATTTTTCGTCATATGTAGCTGTTTTAGATGAATCGCGGTAATAAAGTCCCAGGAAAAAAAGTCCGATTTATAAATGTAACAATATTTAAGATAATATATTCAACCGATATAGTTTGCCGATATTGGTACCTGGGTACAATATTATTTATTAATTTCGTCAGGTAAATCATTTAGTAACAATTATTTTATATCATCAATACTAATTGGAAGTTTGACTGTGCATCACATCATATTTTTCCTTTTATTCCTTTTTAATCTTATTATATGTACCGGACTTTTTCACCGCAGACATTTTTACTCGAACTTTTTTTCTTAGAACTTTTCACCTCGTTACAAAATTACAAATCTTAAAATAATTGTCATAGTGGCAATTTTCGTTACTGCCATTTCCATGCGTTTGTGAATAATTGTTCCTAGACAACCGCATCTTATTCTTGGTACTATTTGTTGAACGACTAAATAGTTTGATTTCTTTTTAGTAAGCTCCTGTTTAACAGACAACAGAGGAAACTCTGTCTTAACAATATCTAAGCTACTACTCCTCTGCTGCCATCGCTTATTGGTGAATAAATTTAAATACACACAATATATAACATACAAATACATAATAGGTACACATAAGTTACATCTGTTGATTGTCGATAGCGCTCAATCGTCCTTTAATATAGGTACACAAATGGATATTGGTCTCTTGCTAGACTCAAACAATATTGGTCGGACTCAATTCCGATAACTCAAAAATATTTGTGATACTCAATTCAATGTTATTTTCATTGATTGTACACATATTACTTAGGATCCCACTATCCTAGACAGGTTCTCACTTAGAGAATACGAATATAGATTCGAAGCAACGGGTTTGGGCATTAGGCCCCGAAATAAACAGGTTGTTGAAATCAGCACTCGTATAACAAATTATTTTTTTTTTTTATTAATTGATCCTGAGCCCGGCAACTGTGGCCATTAGCTATTAGTAGGTACTGTAAGTTTTTTTTTTTGTATTGATGGTTTGTAGGTATTTGGAACGGTAGGGGGAACACGTGTGTGTTTGTTTTGGCAGAATTTCGAATGGGGCACCCGTAGGTTTCTGCCATGCCCCGGGGGTGGGGGATGGCAGCACTTGCTCTCCGGTCACCGCGACTTGTCCGGAGAAAAATGCCGCCCGGTGGCCGAGGATCGAACCGCGACCGGCTGCGTCGCAGCGGAAGAGTCAGACCACTCGGTCACCTCGTCCCCCAACAAATTATTTGTGCAATGACTATCCAAAGAAGTAAGAACCATGACTCATGAGTATAATTGAGTTGGACTCTAAGTGAGTCTCGTAGGTTGTTAGTCCAAGTGAAGTGTAGAATCTTAGGGTCCACAATGTTTTATTTTTAATTTGATAGTGACATGTATATTGATTTTGTATTATCCATTTTTTTGCCTTACATAGTTTTAATTGCATACTATTAGTTATTACTCATAATTGTTAATTATATAATTTAATTGTTATCTTTATTATTTCCCAACATTTTTATATTTCTTTTTGTAAATTGCCATCAGGCGTAGAAACTAATAAAAATAAAATAAAAAAGAGTTACTTATTAGTTATTATTATCTGTCACAAATGAGATTCATTTATTATCTCCGGGTACAACGATTTGAGTATAATATAATAGTAAGTTGCTTATAATTAGTTTTACTGTTTTTAACCTAATAATAAAGAACGTAGAGAAATCAAAAACTAACGATTCGGAAAACAGAGGAAATAATATTCATTGTCCTGGCGAAAAAAAATATATATTTTTAATTTTTAAATGTTTAAACTTTTAAAGTAACATCAGCTTTTTTGTAAGTTTTCACTATAGAGCTTTTAAGGCGTCTGATTCTGGTGACTTGTTAATGTGACTTAGTTGTGATTTTATGAATATCTTTTACATGTGACAATTTTTTGGGCATTTTTTGTATATTTTGTTTTGTTAATTTTCATTGTTATTAGGTAGTCATAATAGTCTTCTTTATCTAGGGGTAAGATAGTGTTCACACATTGCCCAAAATAAATATTTTTTTTATATCATGTAGATTTATTTACAATTTCTAGTTTTATTTTGTTAACATTTTACCTTACACAGATATGTTCACTAATAAGAGTTTTGTTTACGCTAACGATTTATTTACACTTTAATTTGGTCTAATTATATTCTAATAATCAATTAAACAGGACATTTTTAACGAAAAAACTTTTGATTTTCGTAATTGTATTATTAATAGTAACACATCTTACAATTAAACAATGTCATCATTTGGTCTATGATTGTGTACAATGAATAATAATTATAAATTATAATATAAGTGTAAAATAACGTTATTTAAATTAATTACGCGGCAAATGTTGATATATTATCTATTATCGTATTGTTTCTTTAGCACCACAGAATAACCAGAATGGACACACGCTGAGCACTCAAAAATCTGTTCAACTTTGTGGAATATCAGTGTATCCATGTATATAATAAAAATGTAAAATTCTTTCTGTCTGGTCACACTGATAAGGGTTTGTTTACTAACTTTCGACATCAGCTGTCCATATATCTGCGATTGTTTACAAAACATCAGTTTGACTCACGATTTAAGATATACAGGTTACTCAACGCTGTATAGAAACCAGTCGCCAGAGTGATTCCCACCGTTTAACCCCGAAAATCAGCTGTGCACCATAGGAAGAAGGACAGCTAGCGCTCTCAGTGTATATAATCTAAACTATATATTAAATATTTTGGAGGCAAACTGCGTTTATAGCATATGTTATTATTATATTTTACACTAATAATTAATATACTATTATAATGTATAGTATGGATATTGGATAGTAATATGGAAAATCTGAAATTGTATGATTTAACTTGTATTTATTAAATATTAAGTATCCAATTAATATGGTATCCAATAAATGCTGTGTCCCTGGTTGCCAACAAAGCTCATCTAGTAAATTTGGAGTCCCACAAAATGACCATAAAGCATGGGAAAAAAAAATTGGTATTGTTTTGAATAGAAACTCTCGAGTTTGTGCTCATCATTTTAACACAAATGATATTATATCTACTTGGACATCAGGTGAAGGTTCTAGTAAGTATTCGGTAAGTAAACAAATAATAATTTATTGTATTTGTGATTTGGAAATAACTACTCTTGTAGTCTCGTCTCTCAGTACATTTTATTTGTCATTTTTTATTACTTATACTTTGAAAATGTCAATCTCTTTTTAAATGCAAACTACTTTTGTGTATACTTTTTTTATTAGATCTGTCTTAGACAGCCAAGGCTGAAAAAAGGGGTCATTCCTTCAATTTTTCCATCTGACTTAGCTTATAATATCTGTGATGAGGTTTGTTTGAGATTGAATGTGTTGTATATTACTTAGGAGGGTAAGTAAATACTAAATTCATTTTTTCTTATGAATTACAGAACATTAAAATAATTATTAATTTTCTTAAGGTATCTAGCTCGACGTTTGAGTAAAAAATCTAGTTGTGATTTATGTATAAATGGATTAAAAAATTGTTCTCAAGTAACTAAAAGTGAATCAGAATTAGTAAATTTAAAAAGTAAAGGTTTCCTGACACACCCAAATGTAAATTTGTTTAAAATTCTACAAGTGTTAGAGAGCTGTTTTACTAAGCATGCCAGTAGTCCTGATGTTTTTGAAAACACTTACAACGAGTTTTTTCTAATTTCTACCAATTTGAAATTTCCTTGTCCAGACCACAAAAAACAAATGATGGCTGACATTTTCAGTTCTTATATTATAATGCGAATGAGGCAATATACCTATGCTGAAAATCAAAAAACACAAAAACTAAATAGGACTAAAAAGAAAATAGCGAAACTAACAACAACTTAGGTGTATAGTATTATTTTGATTATTAATTAGTATTAATTTTGGGAAGTAAATATGAATGTAATTAATTAAGGAAAAAAGTACTTAATAAGAATAAATTATTATTTCATGAAGTTTTTTTCTTGTAATTATGACATAGATACCTTAATTATTTATATGAAACTGGTGTCTATAAATCTTCTTTTATCAGCAACGGTTGAAAAGTTTTTACTGTTTATAATTAAGTGTAGTATCTAATAAAATATGTATCATGGCTTCAACAAGTTTTAGTACTTTTTACTTATAATTTTTCTCCTGTCCAAATGATATAAATCTACATTCTAGATTTCTACCTGCACATCAAGACATCAAGTGAAGGCTAAATAATAAATACTATTTAGTTTTTAATAATAATTAATATATTATTTACATCATTAATCAATAAGTAATTTATTAATATACCTAGGTACCTTTGTTTGATGTACCTAATGAAAAACTTCAAGATTTTGTTATAGTACCTAACTGTTATGTCTTTGTGATTGTAATTTGTTACTAATAAATAATAACTATAACTATAAGTTATAACTAAAACTATAAGACATAAGTAATAACAATAACTATAAATAATAAAGAATACACAAAATGACGAAATCCGAATATGGATACCAAAAATTCAAGCCATAAAAATTCTGTGCGGGCTGGTTAACGCTCATGGCTCATGGCAAAATAAAAATATTGTCATGAAATAAAATATTTAACGATATTAATGACCACTTGGGCGCTAGCTGTGCTTCTCGCAGGCCGCAATCGAGGTTAATCACTGGGCATCAAAAACATTGCTCCGTTGAGTAACCTGTATATCTTAAATCGTGTTTAGCACTTATCAGTTATCACGAACTTGTGTTACTTATCAATAATGATTAATGAATATCAAATAACAGAATCGTGCTGCAGCCTGCAGGACGTGAAAATATAATATAAATTATAATACATATTATTATTAATAATATTATAGTTTCACGCACGATTCAAGACTTAAGTATACAACATAATATTATAAATTTAACGTAGCTTATAGGTGTATTTTTAAATCGTAATTTATTATTTATAATGTCAATCATATCGTTTAAAGGATTTAGTTATGCTGGCAAAATTGTTAAAGTACCGATTGTTCAGTGTTTTTTAGCACGAAATGCATCGATTAAAAATGAAGTACAAGACTTTGATGTTGTCACAACCACCGCGGAGAAAACTTTGTCGGAAAAAGAAGTGCGAGCAATTTGTGACAAATCTCGCTTGAACCATGGACATCGCAACTTGGTAAATGGTCGACTACCTTATGACAAGCCTGTGCATAGATACCACAACACAGTAAAATACAAAAGAAAAATGTATGGCCGTTATGGTGATGCCAGTAATGTTTTGCCGGGCTTGGCATGGCCAACAGCCGAAGACTTGGCGGATGTAAGAGAATATGAAAGTTTAGCTTATCCGTTGACCATTCAAGAGATGCAAAAAAATGCACTGGACCTTATAGAAAGTAAACAACAAGAAATTCAAACGAATCAGCAAAGAATTGATAACAATATGAAGAAATTAAACGGTTGGTTAAAAGAAGTCAAGGAAAAGTCAGCTAAAAAATTACTTGAGGCACAGCAAGCTAAAGATAAGAAAGAAAAACTCATTGAAGAAGTGAAAAAACATTTTGGGTATAAGATAGATCCTAAAGATGACAGATTTAAAGAAATGCTGGTCAAGAGAGAAAAAGAAGAGAAGAAGAAAGTCAGAGAAGAAAAGAAAAAAGTTCGTGAAGAAAAACTCCTGAATTATTTAGACTCAAAATTGAAATAGATATTAGTAATAAAAAATTATTTTTGTATATTATAAATGTAAACAAAATAAATATTAAATAAATAAGAATTATTGTTTATTATTTGTTCAATAATTTCCAACATTATTAATGAATGTACGATATGGGTCTAAAACGTCGATTATAAGATGTCCAACGTTATGAGATCTGAATACAAAAAATTGACTTGTCAAGGCTACATAATAAATATTTTACAATTTTTGCCAGCGTAATATTTATGTTATTAAAATGAATTCAAAATTATATGTGAAGCTAATTTCACAAACATAGCCATACACGTTCACTTATGTGGTTGTAAACTTTAAACAAATTAAGTTGTTTGTAACACATTTTACAATGTTTAAAATGAATGATTGAACAAGTTTTCTATATTATAGAAATGGTTGATAGCAAATGTTAGATTAGTATAACACACTAAATTATTTTAGAGGATGTTTGAAGTTAATTTAACACAGCTTCACACCACCTATGTATTCTTCCCATTAGGGCCTAATAAAATTTGATAATACTTTTGTTGAACTTTAAAATCTAAATCACACTTAAACTACAATTTTTAATAACTTTTTCTTATGCAATGAAGAGAAAACTAGTTAAGACTTAGTTGTATTATAATGTGTCCAAACAGTAAAGCTAATTGCACATTAATATGTTATTTTAATTTAAAAAAAAACATTTTCAGGCAATAAAATGAATATTATATTAAGTACAATAATTGGTACTATTAACATTCTTAATATTTCAATTTTAATAAATTTTGTCTTTACACTATGAGAAATCAAGTTTGATTGGGAATCATGACAACATTTTAACAGACAACTAATGCATAGTTTAACAAAATTTTTTTTTTTTGTGTAACCGTTAAAATAAAAAAGAGTTAATGGATTATAATATAGTAACAAGAATAATAATTATCATGAAATTGATAAGGACCAAAATTAAAATTGATTACTACAAAGTCTAAAATTATAAAATAATATATAGTTGCAATATAAATGTTGGGCATTAGGGTATTCAACCTTTAATCAAGATAAATAAGCTTAACTTTCAATGTTTAACTATAAATACAGTATACACTTAACATCAATTCAACAAAATAATCTAATATTATATTTTAATAGGATTGGAGTTCAGCTTCAGTGGGTGCTAAAGCACGACATACTTCCATCTGCTACATAATATAAATAGTTGCAATTGCATCACTGCAAAAGAAATGTAGATGAAAAATACTAGATAGTATATTTTACTGTTTACCTGGTTTTATACAGTACTCACAACTCATTAATCAATATCCATTACTGTAGAATTTGGTCCAATATACCATCATATTTAATTAAATCATAACAGAAGTATTAAACATCAATTGGAATATTATTATTTTTCTATGAGTAGATTAAGATGTTTATGAACATAACAATTGAAAAATAATGTATTGAATATGTGGTAAAAACGTCATGATCACAAGGAAAGGAATACAAATTTTAATGTGTCTTATTCTGTTACATTAATATTTTGTTTTTGTAAAATCTATTAGATGGAAACGTTTTTAATATATCATAAAAATTAATGAAAGTAATGATTACAAAATAATAACATACTTTAAACATTTGAATGATGTAGTATTATTATTAATATATTTCCAATTCAGTATTATAAATGTAAAAACGAGTACAAAATTAAACCAATAGTCTTTCTATTTCAGTCTGAACTTGTTGTATCTGTGGGCGTAATTGTGAACCTTCATCAGTGGTAATAGAACACGCTATAACTGGCCTTGAAACACCGCATGCTCGGCCTAATGCTGTAAAAAGTAAATATATTTGTAAATGGTATAAATATTTACACACAAATACAGGATTAATTCTCAATATAAACCTTGTTTTGATCTAATAAAAACATATGGAACATTTTTGTCTTCACATAACAATGGCAAATGTAGCAAAATTTCTAAAGGTTCTGCATCAGCTGCACAGACTATGAATTCAGAAATACCTCTGTTTAATGTTTTAGTGGCTGAAAATTATAAAATAGATACTTAATATATTACCAAATAAAGACTTTTATAATAATATTAACCTTCATTTGCTCCTTTGCGTAATTGTTTATAGTTCATTGCTTGTTGAACCAAGTTTAAAATTTTTGTGGTCATTTGTTGGTCAGCCAAAGGATATGCTTTAGGGTTAACATCTAACGTGATGCTCTGGTCGTCCATTCTAAAATGTAATACAAATATTATATTATTAACTGGTTTACTGCAACATTTATTATCAATCAATACGTGACAGTTAAAACAACTAAAAATACATGTCCACATCAAGCATTGACATATATAATGAGTATATTATTTCCGATTCTAAACAAAGATTTCGCTCGACAATCCCGTTTTCTGTCTGCATAGAAGAGCAGGTGGTAAAAAAAAAACATTCAAAAATCTTAAATTCGATCTCGGCGTTTTCGCCAAACCAAAAGGTAAACCAACTAATTTTATCAAGAGTGACGAAATATCTCAAGAAACCTAACGTTCACAGCAATCTCGTTTTCGACGGAGCCATTTAACCGTCGGTCGTCGATATCAAACACACAAAAAACCACCACCGGCACGACACGCCTGTCTTATCCAGCACGTGTAGGGTAACCGAGGCGAGACGGGCACCCAGAACAACAAAATTTGGACGCCTCGTATCCGGATGGTTTTTTCTACGACTTGACACCGCTACCTCGGGACAAGCAAGAAACCGGCATTATTGTTCGGCCATCGACACGTGCGTTTCGCTCGCACGTGTAAATCCAAATTTCTGCAGTCGATTGGAGTCAACCTCGATGTTGAACATAAAAACTTGGGCGATAACCATCTGCGTGTGTACTTACTTTGAAAAATTAGCGTTCGGTGGCTGGCTGGATTGAATATTCGAATCAGGAGAAATATTATTCAAACGGCAACTTGTGTTTACGATTACGAATATCGCGCTAACGAGTAATGTTAACGCATATTAGGTTAGGACTTAGGTTGAACCTCGGAGGATGGAAGGGGGTTGTTTACTGTGTATTCGACGTTCGCTTAACATTATGGTATATAATGGTAACATGGAAGGTATGCCAGCACAAAAATGAAACATTTATGAGCGTTCATGGAGTAAAAAAAGTTCGTCATTCATGCCAAGAAATATTGACGTCCCGCGGTTCTCGTAAATATTAATGTTCAAATAATCGAATTAGTAACTACACAATGTTGAATAGGTACAATGAAATACAGTGTACTCACGATTATCCACCGTCTCCCGCGAAATCATCTACGTACTTATGTGTATACAAAAAAAATATATATTTACATTTATTTACATTATAAATCATTATCGGTTTAATTGTGTGATAATTTGGGATAGCCGATTACTCGAAAACAACATAAAATGCAATACGCTTGTTTGATAAATATATATGTATGTAGTATGTACATATTATGTTATATTCCTTTCATACTGTCTAGACCCTCGAATGTACATTGTAAGCATGAACTAAGATATCTTAGTTCATGGTTTATAGTATTTTTATTATCTAGAAACCTTGCATTGTATGTACATTATTATCGATTTAATTGGGTTGCGATAGTAGATTACGCACATTTTTCTTGTTGTTATACTGCATATATTTATTTGAAATCATTTAATTTCCTGTTATTTATGATATCATTTTGAATATTTAAAAATACACAGATATCATTGATTATTGAATCGTTGCCAAGTTGCAACATAAATACCTCGTCCTTACCCAATTTTTGAATTGCTGCATGCTTGAGATGCACCTGTGTTTCAAAACTTACTGGAATAAATTATGACTGCAATTTGAAGTTATCTTCCAAGTGAGGAAAGACTTTTTTGTATGATATACCCCAAGCATAATGCGATTGATTAAAATAATTGTGGTTTTAATTATTACTATGAAACCATTCGACAATTTGGTGGTATAAAATAAAATATTTCAAAACATAAATGCTGAAATTGAAGCTATGCGGGTTGTGACTCTACTACATTTAAATCATTACATAATAATTTTCAATAGATTTCAAATATTTTCAGGCAATGTTGTAGGTTGTAGAACAAATACATAAAATTAAGAAGTAATTAATGATGTAGTAAAAAAGTTGTAATAGCTTCTTTACTGTATTTATAATTAAAATAAGACAATGTTTATTATAATACATTAATATTATAATATAATTTACATTCTTATTCAAGTGTACTTTATGCAGGTAAGACAAGGATTGAGGGATAATAATAGAGTAAAAGTAAAATACACTTTATTCATTATTGTATAATATTTTAATTAAAATCTAATTAAATATTTATATTTATTTTGTTATTGCTTAATAATAAAAAAAACTATTAAAAAAATGAGTCACACAATTTGTTAATATACACATTATTAGTTGTATGAGCAGTTAACATTTTTAAAGCTTTTAATAAATGTTTTTAGCTTTTCACGGTGATTCATTCCATGTTATAGGCTTGCGTTCATTTGCTGATGAGTCACTAGTCACACCACTCGGCCCAGCAACAGGAGATTCCTCACGAACAGCTTCATTATCTTTACTGGGCGAAGAGGAGACTGATATTATTTCCTGATCATGATCTTGATCAGGGCTATCATCATTTTGAGTTTCTTCAATATCTGAACAATGAAATAAGAAATTAAGTCAACTTTTTGCATCAAAGTACACATTTAGATGTTAGTACCATGAATTGATTTAATTTCAATGGCTTCCTCTTCATTTTCAGATGATAAAATTTCAACTGTTTCTTGTTCTAAATCATTGATTAATAATTTTAATTTCGAGATACATATTTTTTTAAGAATTAAATATAAAACAATACTTGATGATTCATTATTCATTTAACAATTTATAAAGTTATGAAAAAAAACTTAAATATTTATAGAAATAGTTTATCAAATTTAAGCCAAATGAAATACACAAAAATATAAAATCCAAAAATTACCTAAATCAAGTGTGTCAGTTTCTACGTTTTCAGTTGATTGAGAAACTCCAACAGTGTCCGAGGCATCGCTTGAGGGTCCTTTATAAAAAATTAATTTTACTATTTAGTAATTTTAGTAGAATATGATTGTTTTTATTTTAAATACATTTAAATTGCAGTAAAATAACAATGACTAATCATTGGCTTTATTGGTACATAATTATACATACCGGCTTGATGTTCAATTGGAGTTGAATCACTTTCATTCTGTCTTGATTCAGCATCTGAAGTTACATTATCAGTACTCTTAGTCTCTTCGCAACTCTGTAAATATATATTATTTTAAAAACAATAATTATTGATCGGAACAAAAATCAAGGCTATGTCAAGAAATATCAAGTTATTACCGCTGAAGAAACAGGTGTATTTTGAAATTCTTGAAAGTGAATAATTTCTGGCGAGTCTTCTTCAACAATTGCCATAGCAGTGGCTTCAGCATTTGAAGAATGTTCTGGTGTATTTTCTCCAGTTACTAAAAAAACATGAAATTATATTTATTATTACAAGCATTATATTATACATAACTTCATAAATGCAAAGTGGTAGTTCCATTAATAATAAATTACAGAAATAAGCTTAACTATGTAAGTAGGAATACAGACTGAAAAACAAAATAATATGGCTAGAATAATAAATGGTGGTATACATTTTAACCCATGGACATCATTCTGTCTGTAAGATGGTTGAAACTGTAATTAGTAGAATGAACATGTACAATAAAAGGAATTTGAAAACGTGTGAAACAAAAGGGACTTACAATTTAATTTAGTGAGCAAAAAATATAATAATATAAGCTGTAAATACTTAATAAAATTGAAAAGGTACTTTGTTCTGTTTCTTCATTTTGAATATCATTGGTTTCATTCATATTATTTGTGTCAGCAGTACATTCTTGGCTTGTTAGGTCAACCTCATTATTTTCATGTGTTGCTTCACTAGTCACTTCCATATCTGTACTTGCTTCAACTTCCTAAAAAACATCAATTAAAATGCAAAATATAACTAATAATTAATTTTAAATTATAATTACAGACCCAGAAATCTATTAGTTTTATGAGTGAAATAAAATCGTAATTTTATCATAAACAAATCACAATATTAAATCACTATAATTTCTATAAATTTCAAGTCTTCAAATATAGATTAGCTTTTAAGAAGTGTATGACACATAATTGAAATTCTAAATGCCAAGTGCATTAACATGTTTGACAAATACATTCGTGTACATATTTTGTATTCTTAAATTGTGTAGGTATGTTTCTTTCCACTAACATATTTATAATTAAAAAAATGTATAAATATAATTTCATCCATCTTTTATCGGTTTGAGTGTCATTTTTAGTCTTTCAATACTATAAGAGACTAATCTATCATCAACGAGTTAGAAGTGCACATACTTTATTATTATCTTGTGGATTACTCTCTGGACCAATGTATGAATTGCTAATTTCTGAATCTCTTTGTGAGGATGTTGGTGCTTCATATTCCATTTCTCTACGGGTTTCTTCTCTAGGCATAAAAGATTTAGATCTTTTCATCTAAAATATAAAATAAATTGTGTAATGAAGCGCAGTACGACAGATGATATATAATAAAACATCAAGTAAAAAATATTCAATCTGACATGGCTACATGAGATGTGTTCAATCTTCGAAGAGATATCAAGAAATAAATGAAAAAATACACACTGGATTTTAACCCATGACTTATGTTCTAGACTATTGCACACGTAACAGTAAGTTACCATGATCTATCATATAAACTTTGAAATTCTCCCACTTGGGCAAGAGTGGCAGTGTGTACAGTTGAGGAGTGTAGGTGGTTTGCTATTGTGCATGTACTTAAGTAATTGTTGTCATACATAGTGCGTGCAACATAGAACTTGTAAGATTTTCATAAAATTGTGTTTTTATAGGCTACTTTATAATCAGTTTTTTGAAATATTAACTACAAGCAAATGGAATTATTGATTTTCATACAATTATTTTCAAATTAACAGTAAACCCAATATTTACATATGAAGTCACGAGGAGATCTGCTTTTCGTTTTCTTTGAGTACTGTTAGAGTGAGTTGTAGTGTCAAGAGAGGAGCAGCTAGGTCCACTAGTACAAGCAGTGACAACTGATGGTTCTGACTCGGTCGAAGGACCCGGAGCTGAAGAACTAGCAATATTACTGTTACTACTTTCCATAGCCTGACTATTTTCATTTTGCACACTGTATCTAAAATACATTATTACATTAAATGAAATTCAAAACACATTTTTTAAATTATTAAATATCCTTCACCTGTCTATTTGACTTTGTGAAGGAGACACTGTTGATACAGATACGGTAGTTGGTTGTGACACAGTTGTTTGTACCTGTTCTCTGCCCTGCGGTACTACCAAAGCTATACTGATGGCAGGACTTGCTTGTGCAGCAGTAACACTTGGAGCAGCTGCACTACCTATCAGCTGTTGAAGTGGTAAGATTGATGGAGGAGTAGCAGCAGTAGTTTCATTAGAATCAGAAACTGTTGGAGTTGATTCAGAACCCTAAAACGTTCAAAATTATCAAATGTATAATAAATACATACTCACATAGTATATATGTATATAAAAGTTGTTATATTATAAAAATAAACAATGTACTTCAACGTGTTGTACTAAAGTACTGCTTGTTAAATGACGGCTTTGTGCTGTGCTATTAGCTTCCGAAGAGTCTAAAGCATTACCTCCACTGCTACTGATATCAACAGACTGTGGTTGTTGTGGATGAACAGTAATAGTTGTACTACTACTAGTTCCACTAATTGAACTGAAATATTAAAATGTAATTTTTATGTGTTAACTATAAGTATGACACAATATGTTCTTTATTTTTAAATAAGTATAATTTACAAACTAGGGCTAACAACCTTACCTGGTAAAAAGAACTTTATTATGAAACCAACTACACCTACGCTTCGGACAAGATTATATGGTTTTAAGATTAGGTTATGGAAACGGAATGCTAAATTTAAGAT